CCGCGCGGCTATACTATGTATATCTTAAAAAAAGGACGCTCCCAGCCCTAGGTGCCACATGTCAAAAGAGTAAAGGCTATTTTTAAAAAAAATAAGGAAAAACGAGTACAGCCGGGCGCCTATACTATTTTTTTAAATTAAAAAAACCATATAGCTGGCCAGCGATATATATATATATATATATATATATAAAGAACAGCCCGTGGCCTAAGCCCACGTGTCAAAGAGGTAAAGCTGCACGGCTATACTATCCCTTTGAAAAACAATTAGGGAAAACTGAGTACGGCCGTACGGCTATACCTTTTTTTAAAGGTATATATTATTTTTATTCAATAATACGTGTATAATATGTGAATTTTGTGTGTCTTACTGAATTTTTTGTTAGAAATACGTGTATTAAACATGAAAAATATGTGCGTACGTGTATAATACATTATTAAACGTGAAAGTGCTAAAATCTTTATACGGGTAATAACTTTGGAAAAGTAAAAAATTAAAAAGGGACGATAGATACTCGAATAATGGCATAATAGTAATGGATAGAGTTCTTGGGCTATGGAGAAATTGAATTAAGACACCCAAATGATTTCACAAAAGGCTTAATAAATAGAAATTAATTACTTTGTGTTCTTTTTCTTCAATCTCTTTACATTAAATAATAATTAAAATATAATTACTAAGTAAAGTTATTTAAAAAGGCTAAGATATTACTTGATTATGTATAGTAAATTAAAGAAGTAGGCCAAAAAACAAAAGTAAAGAAACATATTTTATTTTTTTTAATATTGAAAGTAAAAAATAGTATAGCCGCACGGCTATACTATGTGTATGTAGGTGCCAGGTGTCAAAAGTGTAAATGCTATTTTTTAAAAAAAAAATAAGGGGAAAACGAGTACTGCCGCACGGCTATACTATTTTTAATGCAAAAACGATTTTTTTGAAAAACAATTAGGGAATACTGAGCACAGCCGTTCGACTATGCCCTTTTCTTAAGGTATATATTATTTTTATTCTGTAATACATGTGTAGTACGTGAATTTTGTGTATCTTACTGAATTTTTGTAAAAAAATACGTGTATTGAACATGAGCCCAGGATCAGCGGTCGTATAATACATTATTAAACGTGAAAGTTCTAAAATCTTTATACGGGTAATAACTTTGGAAAAGTAAAAAAATCAAAAAGGGACAATAGATACTCGAGTAATGGCATAATAGTAATGGATATGACTCTTGGGCTGTGGAGAAATTTAATTAAGACACCCAAAAAATTTCACTAAAGAGTTAATAAATAGAAATTAATTACTTTGTGGAGTTTTTCATAAATTTTTTTACATTAAATAATAATTAAAATATAATTTCTAAGCAAAGTGATTAAAAAAGGCTAAGATATTACTTGATTACATATGCAGCAAGATGATTCCATACCTAGTTCTGATGAAGCCGAGTAAATATCTTGCCCATTTATATTGGAATATCTTGCCCATATCAACCAGATCGCTGAACCACAGCAAGCACCCCCTTCCTCCATCTCTGATATCCAAATTTGAAAAAGCAGTGCAGGAGCAGTTGTTCACGCACATCATCGATCACATTCCTTGAGGTTCGTACTTGTGTTATACCAGGATTGTTTTGTACTTGGCAATTTCACCCCAGAGTACTTCTTAAAGATGTCTCCACTGCAATTCAGTTGGCTCTTTCTCACACAACTACATGACCAATCCACCAAGTCCCAGTCTTGTTGAAAGTTCGGTATAAATCCTTTCAAGCAGCTACATACTGGGGACTTGTCAATACTACATGCACCATTCGGACCACATATTCCATATTTGTCACAGATATCAGTCGTTACTATATTAGATAAACGACCCAACCTTGGTGCACATTGATATGCCCTTTTTTTCTTCTTCACAAACATGATCCAATTGGTATTTGGTATGACAAACACAAGCAACATATACAAGTTTTGGCATGCAGCTAGCATACCAAATTCACAAAATGTAAGTGGGGATAAAGGGAACCAAGGTACTAGGAAGGAGTTGTCCAAGAGATGCAACTCCCCACACAAAACTCTCGTCTGGGGACTTGTGGGATTTCTATTTGCGAGGTAAAATGCCTCTCGATGACCGAGCTGAGCTTTTGATGTATGATAGTATCTCTTTACAGATCGAAGACGACTTGAGAGACTTCTCGGTGTGGAAGCGATGATGCCTTCACTACAAGATCCTGAGCGCTTCAACTTTTGGGTAACTTTTTATTTCTGCATAGAATACAACGCGGACTAATATATCTCATATGTAAGAATCAGATGCCTAATATCAAGTACTTAAATTTGAAGGGTGCAAAAGTCAATCGGGATGGTCTTGTCACGTTGATGCATGGATGCAAAGATTTGGTGATGTTGGATGCCAGAGATTGTTCTGGTTTCGATGAGAACGACGATGAAATATCAAAGATTGTGTCTCATATTAGTCAATTTATGTGCGAGGGTTATGAATTTCCTGAATTTCTTTGTGGTATGGACAATTTTGTTCTTCATGTTGATGGATACTCATTTCATCTGCATGTGGAGGAGACGTGGGA